GCCCTGGGGAACACCACTTGTGACCGGCCAAGATTTAACACCATTCACCACGAGTCTCTGGGCTTGGCCATCCAGCCAGTTCTTTACCCAGCGAAGAGTACGCCTGTCTAAGCCACGAGCCGCCAGTTTCTCCAGGAGAATGCTTTGGGAGACGCTGTCAAAGGCTTTTACAACAACATACAGTTCTCTTTAGTTCTGCAGTTTGGATTGGGAATTGCTTTGTAAACAACTGTATTGCTCACTATGCCAGTTCCTTATACAGAGAAAGACCTGCTAGGCACAAGAAGAAATGAGCCTGTAGAACAGGAAAGGAGAAAACAGAAGAAAAAATAAAGAAAGAGAAAAGAGAGAACCATGTAGTTCTCATTCTCAAGAATGTTTCTCTATTTGATCAAGAAGCAAAACAACACCAAAGCCCAGGTTATGAAAATCATAAATGAATCCAATGTTTAATTAGAGAAAAATCAAAGCCTTTTGTGGCTGGACAGGACATACATTTTCCCAGGCCATCATCTCTCTAGAAAGCTGCTTTATTTAACATGGCACAATTGTAAATTTCACATCAGCTTGGTGGTTTGGGTTTGCAAAATAGGAATGTCTTGAGAAAAAGCAGACAAATCAACAAATTCTGAGAACCCAAATTGCTAGATTGCTGTAAGAATTCTTGTGGAACATCTGCATTTGTCCTTATGTAATACATAACCAACGTCTAGGTGGAGGAAATACAGCGAGCAGGGTTGAAGTAATCCACTGATCTGATTATGCAGCAGAGTTTCTGACCAACTGAGCCTAAGCTCATTTCACTTCTCAGAGATTGTTTCTTCTCCTTTATAAACAACAATGTTCTGGTCTGTTTCATACACTTTGACTTTATAAAGAGTTCCCATAGGCAGGAGCTTCTTGAGGTTTTCCCAGATGAATACTGCAACATTCTCTGTGGTGCTAAGAGTGAAACAGAGCAGATTCAGAACTGACAGCAATGGTATTTGAGGCTGTGCCCAGAACGGGCACAGAGGGATGCTGAAGGGCCACAGGGAACCATGTGGGCAGCATTCACATGATGACACCCTGTATGTAAGTGGGGCTTGAACGATTGCCAGCAAACATGGATGAAATGAAGTCTAATTAGAAGGTCGTATCAGTCTCACCAAGCTGTCCACAGAGCAGCCTCATGTGACAAGTGCCAGTCTGCAAAGGGTTCCTCAGGTGCAAGCAAGTGGTGCCTTCCTGGGTATGTGGGACAGCAGCTGCCCCAACATGCCTGCATCTGGCCCGGCACAGTGAGGGAGGCTGCATGGCAGCAGGGCTGGAAGGCAGGCGGGGCACCCAGCACCTGACATGCACAAGTGTGTCACAGGTGTGTTACACACGCAGGTATCAAGGCTGCTCTTTCAGATGTAGGACTAAGCTTTGAAGACTGTTCCTTGACTCTGCAACCAATGCCACAAGGAGTCCCCATCACTCACCTCACAACCTCAGCAAAGTATGGCACATCCTTATCCAGGTTTTTGTGGTCAAGCGGTTCCATGATTGCCTCCTGCAGAAAGAAAACAGTGTTTTTGCCCAGCCAGCAACTAAGCACCACAAAGTCACTTGCTCACTCCCCCTGTGGCAGGATGCAGGAGAGAATCAGAAGGGTAAAAATGAGAAAACTCGTGGGTTGAGATGAAGACAGTTTAATGGGTAAAGCAAAAGCCACACATGCAAGCAAAGCAAAACAAGGAACTCATTCACCACTTCCCATGGGCAGGCAGGTGTTCAGCCATCTCCAGGAAAGGAGGGCTCTATCATGCATAATGGTTACTTGGGAAGACAAATGCCATCACTCTGAACATCCACCCCCTTCCCTCTTCTTCCCCGGCTTCATATGCTGAGCATGACATCATATGGTGTGGAATATGCCTTTGGTCAGCTGGGGTCAGCTGTCCCAGCTGTGTCCCCTCCCAACCTCTTGTGCAGCCCCAGCCTACTCACTGGTGGGGCAGCACAAGAAGCAGAAAAGGCCTTGACTATATAAGCACTGCTCAACAACAATGAAAACACCTCTATATTATCAACACTGTTTTCAGCACAAATACAAAACATAGCCCTATATGAGCTACTATGAAGAAAATTAACTCTGTCCCAGCCAAAACCAGCAGACAGTGACAATCTTGCCCCAGTTGGTCAGCGGAGTTGGTGTTCAAATTACTATGCAAATGGGACTGGAGCAAGGCAACAGTATGTAAAAAAAGGATAAGAGCCCTACATCCACCTATTAACTTCCCAGCTGGAGACATGGCACTGCCTCACATCACAGTGCTAAAGCATTTTAGTCTTAAATCGTTCTTTAATTTCTTCTTTTAGGAAATTAGGAAATTTCTTAATTTCCTACCATCATCAACTCACCAAGTTTCCACCCTGGTACTAGACAAATTGCTAAGCTCTAACCAATTCTCCAGGGGATGTGTAGGAAAATAGTGCCATTACCTGCATATATTCTTTCAGGTCTGTGAGGTTTATAACCATTCCTGAGACTGGGTCAATCTGCAAGGAAAACAAAAGGGGGATTAGTAGCCTAGCTACATGTCCTTATTACCAAGGCTGCCATGAGCCTGTACAAATCAGACTGTGAATATCTGTGCACTCAGGATATCTGAGCCACCAGAAAAATGTTGTTCCACCTTCACACACTGAGTTCAAACTCTACACCTGTGATGTCCCCAAAGGCTAGATACAGCATACAAACAACTCCAGCGGTTCCACTCTCTCGTAAAAGCTGACACCAGGGAGGAAAAACTCACAGAAACACGCAGTCTTCAAGTAACGATCTAGCATGACCATAAGCAGGAAAACAGGCATTAAACTGCCAAGTTGAACAACCAGGGACAAAACAGAGACCAGCCTGAGCTCAGGGCATTCTCCCATCTGGAGAAGGCATAGCTCCAGGAGCAAAATCAGGGTTGTGTAGTTCACAGCATATTTGGGGAACATAGAAGGAAGAGGCTTTAAAATTTTAGTTTCAGATCTGAATAGAAACCCCCTTTCCTATGAACTCAAATCTTCAAAAAGTTGTTTGGAAAACATCAAAACCCAAGTGCTATCTAAACAACTCACTCTGCAGAATACACAGAATAGTGACAGGATGAAGAGTGAAAAACAATTGCAAAAACAGAACTTCCTTTTATATTTGCAGCAAAATGCCTTGATAAAACAGCAGTTACTGGAAGTGCTAAGCTTCCCTGTGGCTCAGTAGTTATCCAAAGGTGCCCACAGATCTGACCAGAGCCTATACATTCTGTGGTGATGCTCTGGCAGACTAAGTTATGTGCCTGACTTGGATTAAATATGGTCATCTGCAAATCCTTATTAGAGGCAAGGTGAATAGAAGAGTGATTATGGAAAATCTTTTTCTATAGTGATGTGTACAGAGTTTCCACAAACACCCTGGAAAACCTAGCAATTGAGCTAGAACTTCAGTACTGTGGAAGATGGGGACTCATTCTACGCTGCCACCCTAAGGAATGGAAAAAAAATGTTGATCACACTTACCTCTCCACGCACAGTGACTATAACTGAAAAAAAAAAAAGTAAGTATCAGGTCACGATGACAACACGACCCTAACAACAAAGTACACTACTGATGGGGACAGACAACCCATTCATCACTAATCCACACAGACTGGTGAAGGCTTCCCAGCAATTAAAAGTGGGGACTGTTTGTATAAAATGTGTATCCATTCCATAAAGAATAATGACTCAGAGTCACCCAGCTTGTCAAAGAAGTCATCTTCCACGGTCTGATGCCCAGGGACACACCACTATCCCTGACATGCCCCTTGCAGGCAGAGATAAGGCTAGATGACTTCTCAGGTACCTACTCCCTATGACAGTCTGTGCCCTGCACACTCAAAACCAGTGTCTCTTGATCAGCAAAGTCCTCTGGACAATGCAGACACCCTAGGTCCCCATACAATCACCAGACCCCTGAGATCGTAAGATGTGGGGTCAGCCTGTAAGTCTTCTGACATCACAGAACACCAGAGAAGGAAAGTAAGGGATGAAGTGGCCACCAACTCTAACAACTAGAATTACTGCAAGGTGTAATTTCAACCCAGAAGCCCTTTCAACAGAAGAGATAAACACTTGGAAACATCATCCTTAGCAGCTCAGCATTCTTTTCTGCTAACCACAGGAGCCAAAAACTGAATCACAGCTCACTGGGGAACTCACATAAATAGACAGTGATTTTGAGCCTGGCTGTGGTTCTCCTCTGGGGTGGAAAAGCCCCTTTGTGCCTTTTTTCTCACTCCCTCCCGCCCCCCACCAAAGAACAGTTTTAGAGGCATCTCCCTAGCTTTCCAGCATTATTTTTTTTTTCCAGTGGGAACATCCTCCTTATATGAGAAAGCAAGAACTGTTGTGCCTCTAAGTCAGCTTTAAAATGAGTGAGAGAGGTCTTCAGTCCAGCAATCTGTCAGTCTGTATTCCCTGGTAAAGCTAGTGGCTCTGTAGCAGAGGTTTCAGGGTACCTACAATAAACAATGCTAAACAGGGTGCCAGCCTAATAAATGGAGAGATCTGACTCTATGTGCATAGGGTATAGATGGTAGGACAAGAACTTGTGAAAACAACATTCAAATAAAGTTTACAGGATGTTTAAATTGCACGTCTTTTGCTTAGAAAAATCTTAATTCAAAACAGAATGATTTTGCAGATTAGAAACAAGTAGATTTGATTCATGAAGTGACATTTTGAGATAAATACTTGTTATCTTATTTAACTGAATAGGTTGCAAATCCATACCATGGTTCAACCACCTTGCTGCTGAAGATTCCTTCTAATCCTAAAAAAACCCAAACCAACCACTAAAAGTCATACAGACTGTGGGTAAATCCATGTGTTATTCTGCATTCAAACCAGCCTGCCTGAGAGCAGCCTCTGTCCCTGACCACATGCGTAAGCATAGAAGTCAACTCCTTACCTTTATAGTTGTGTCCATGGCCATTTGCATTGTTGCATTTCCCAAACAACTTCAGGTTTTCTTCATCACTCAGTGATTTACTGTGAGAAATACAGACATGGCATTTCAGGATCCATCACAAGTGTTCATCACTTCACTTCAGCTGTGATTGCTTTCTAGCTCTTCCATCTATTCACTCTCTCAAATTTAACCCGGTAGCTTTTCCTACTCAGAAGGCATGAGCAGAACCAGAGGAGTATTTGGCCCACGAAAAGATGTTGTTAACAACAGGGGTTTTTTTGTTGTGGTTTTGTATTTATATATGCAGGTTTCATAACAACTGCCTAATACCACTGCTGTATAAACACTAACAGCTATTCACATATGAATACTGCAAACTCGCTTGGGCTCCTAGGAGGAAGCGCCTGGAGCAAACTATGCATATTATTATTTACAGTTAAGTAACAAACCTTAGGGAGCTTCTCCAAGAGGTATAAAGGACGAGTGCCCTCTCTGAAGATTTCCTTTTTAGAAATTCAAGTGCCTACTCCGAGGAATATTTCAGCTCAAAGCACTCTTTAGGAACATGTAAGTTTTGAGAAAAAGGTGACAGATTAGGGGCTCAGTGAGTCGCTTACAAACTGCAAGCATCATTCGTCCCGTTTAAAACCAAAACGTCAGTTCCCGTTAAACCTAGCTAAGCACTGATGTCTAAAATCAGGACTGGTTACTACAGGCTACAGAAGACGGGCTAAAACAAGGAGACCTGGGAAACACTCGACAGCAGGCACGCATACCCGCACACCGGCTAAGCCGGGCCCCCACCTGGAGAGGTCACCTGGAACGCGCTAACGCCCACGGCCCGCAGCTCTGCGAGGCCTCCGTGCTTTTCCGCCGAGG